GAGAGCAGAACTGCCAGGAGAGAGGCCACCTGCCCGACGAGCGGAGCAGCACGGCTGCCCGGGCACTGCTACATGGGCAAGTGCCCAGCTGTGCGGGCAGCCCCTGGGCCAGCACATGCCATCATCCCCGTGTTTGCTGTGCCGCTGGGTGCCACGGAGCAGAGCCGGCATCAGAAGGTCCCACAGCGAACGGGTGCCCGTGCTGGCACACTCCGGTGTGTACAGTCTTTACCGGTGCCGTGGCTAGAAACTATTTTTGGAAGAATTCCAAAAGCTGCCTATGGGTCTGTGCTGATGCCAGGGTTACGGCAGGGGCTCCACCACTGGCAGCGGCATCTGGCCTGGCGCGGCTTTGCCGGGGCTCACGGAGGGTCTTTATGCATGAGCGGTATGTAAAGGTTTTTATTCAAAAAAAAAAAAGTTATAAATAAATGATCTAGATTATTTTCCTGTCTTTTTGAAAACAACAAATAAAATGTTTATAGTATCCTTGTGGTTTCCTTTGCTTTGTAAGTACGGTTTCACTTCCATAGGCACACGTGCCCTGGCGTGTCCCACCCGGGTGGCTCGGGCGGTGGCCCAGCTCCCAGGAGCCGAGCGTGCTGGGATGGTACTGGGGAAGGTGAAGGCTCCTTGGAGCCAGAGCTGTTGGGCTTGGAAGAGCACCAGTAAAGGGTTTACAGGTACATCAGCGCTGACGGACTAGGGAAGAGGGGAGTTCAGGGTGGAAGGGGAATGGGGACCTGGTCACAAAGGACGTAGAGAAGGTGCTGGATGTCAGCTTCAGCTTGGTATTTACTGGTAAGACTGGCCTACAGCAGCCTTGGGTCCCTGAGACCACTGGGAAATGTCAGGAAGACTTGCCTTGGTGGAGAGGGGTGAGGGTAGGGGGCACTGGGATGGGGTGTCCTGGGCCCTCGGGACCTGGCAGGTGCACCCCAAGGTGCTGAGGGAGCTGCAAGGCCGCTTCCCACCTTGGAAAGGTTGTTGGTGATCAGGGGAGGTTCCTTCAGAGCCTTGGGAGAAAAAGTCACCCCTGCCTTGAGGAGGAGGAGGATGGGGGAGCTATGCCTCACCGTGGTCCCTGGCAGGTGATGGAGCATGTCTCACAGAATCCCAGAATGTGAGGGGTTGGAAGGGACCTCAAAGGATCATCTAGTCCAATCCCCCTGCCAGAGCAGGACCACCTAGATCATATCACACAAGAATGTGTCCAGGTGGATTTGGAACATCTCCACAGAAGGAGACTCCACAACCTCTCTGGGCAGCCTGTTCCAGTGTTCTGTTCCCCTTACTGGGAAGAAGTTCGTCCTCATGTTCATAGATTTCATAGATTTTTTTCTAGGTTGGAAAAGACCTTAGAGATCATCCAGTTCAACCGTCCCTAATCCCCATTAAACCATATCCCTAAGTAG